ACATTTTTGGAAAATATTGTTATTTTATTTCTTGCAGAGAATTAATAAGAGGATTGATGCTTTAGCAGTGGCTTGATTCAGGGGCGACATCCTAGGAAGGCTTCATCTGAAGACCATCAGAGCGATGCCATAAGGCTGTTCTATTTCAAAGGCTTCTTTAAATAAGGCCAAGAAATGCAGCCTTCTTTCCACCTGTTGGATTTCTCACTGCCCTGTCACAAGATTCCTTATGCACCAGTGACGACTGGATTTGGCTGATTTTGCACATGAAGCAGCGGTTCACGAGTACGCATCTAAAAGTAAGTACTGGGTTTCAACTCTGCTGAATAACTAACGATAAACACATGTATAAAATATGCCCCTGCTGCTGTCAAGGTTGCTAGGCAACAAGAGTTGGCTGTTGTGATGCAGGGCAGCAGCTGGTGATGCAAGTTGGAAGTTCTCCATAGGCTGAACCGTCTCATTTACCAACAATCGGTTCACCCTTTACGTCCTTGGAAAGATGCAGCCCCCGAAACGAGACAACGCTCATGTCTTACCTAGAGCTAGGAGTTGGTTAGCTTAGCTTAGCATAAAGACTGGAAGCAGTGGAATAGCTTTGTCTGCCTATCAGCACCTTTAAATTTAACTAAAGCATTGTTACTGCAGGGTGGAGCAGTTGGTTAGCACTGTTGCCTCGCAGCAAGAAGGTTGCCAGTTCGCGTCCCGGTGGGGGCACCGGAATCTTTCTGCGTGGAGTTTGCATGTTCTCCCCGTGCAGCGTGGGTTCTCTCCGGGTTCTCCGGCTTCCTCCCACAAAGTCCAAAAACATGTTGAGGTTAATTGGTGATTCTAAATTGTCCGTAGGTGTTGGTATTGTGTTGGTTGTCTGTCTCTAAGTGTAGCCCTGTGATAGACCCCTGCCTTCGCCCTAAGTCGGCTGGGATAGGCTCCAGCCCCCCCCACGACCCTAATGAGGATTAAGCGGTGTATAGAAAATGGATGGATGGATGTTTCTTGGTAGCTTTATCTGGAAAGAGATGAACTGTTTGAGCCTATTTTCAGCATTCACAGAATGTTAACTGTACCCCATGTGTACAGCAAGCTACTAGTTTGCTTAGGTTAGCATAAATACAGGGTGAAACAGCTGGTTTATCTACAGTTTCACTGGTGATGTAGGTGGATTGTGAACTGAGCCAGACTAGTTTCCAACTATTTCCAGGGATTATGCTGAGCTAAGGTGCTGCTGCCTGAAATTCACCAGAAATTTGAGAATGACATCAATATTTTAACTCTCAGCAACACCGCACGTATTTCCCACAATGCGAATCAGTTCTTTTAAAAATTCTCTGGAGGGTAGTTAAGAGACTGTGTGTTGATAGTCTCACATAGGCAGACGGTTCTCTACACTGACAGAGCTTTATGTTGAATAGTCTGACTGCACCTCATTATCACTGGAAAAACTGTGGCTTATGCCCTCAGTCTACATCCAGTGAGTCCAACTAGTGTGTTGATGACAAGCAGCACGTCCAGCTGCAGCCTTCTTACGCTTCACTGCTTAAATCCTGATATCCTTTCTGAAATACCATTCTGACAGGTAACTAAAGAAATCGTTTCCACCTGACCTTTGACCTTCACCATGTGATGCAGGAGTGACCCTTTCTGTTTTCACTCTGTTACGACTAAATGCCTCATTGCCATCCTAACCCTAACAAAGAGGTGACACACCCTCTGAAACTCATGTCAGATTTGCAGAAGTGAAGGTTTTATTGATGACGGAGTTATGCTGCATACATATTGGCACATGTGCAGGGATTGTGCTGAGGTTTAAGGACGATTTGGATTATATTTATTCTTGGCACGGAGGTAAAGGGGAAGCCTTCTGGGGTTGTTTTAGTTAAAAAGTGTCCCGAGAGCCAAGCTCTTTCAGCAGGACCAGATGTTTCAGTTTGTATGTAGAGACACAAACTTCAGGTTCAGGATTGTGGTTCATTGAAATTATCATATAGAAAATATACACTGTGATCACGTCAAGGTTGTTGGCCCTTCAGAGACACCTGATACTACTTTGAAATTGCTTTGGTGCACAGCGAGAGGGACGCATATGTATGCTAATTGGAAATCAGAGGTCGGAGAGCAGAATTTCGCGTCATTATGGTAACTTGGTTAACTTTGCTTCTTGATAATCAGTCCCACCAGCAGACTAAACATTTGGAAGAAAGAACCCTCAGATTTTAAATGCTGGTCCGACTTGGTCGGGTCAGGTCCCATTGTCTACGCACTGATTAAACAAAGTGTGTGCCAGAGTTTTTATCTGGAGGAAGTAAACGGTATCAAACAATGATAACATTTCTGCAGACTTCCATGTAATGCAAACAGTGCTACGACTGTTTTTGTGTGTTTTCACATGTGTGTAGTATCATACATGCTCAGTGCTGTGGGAGTACTGACCGGTTACTTTATTTTTAGTAGAAGAGTACAAAAGCCTTTCAAGGCTAATGAAAACAGAAAGGAATAATAGAATTATTCAGTATTTAGGGGGGAAAAAATGCTTATTCACTCATCCAAATCAGATTTATCAAAAGTTGATGAAAACATTGATATCTTACATCTATCAGGGAAACGTAAAGCTGCAACCAGCAGCTGGTAGTTCAGCACAAAGACTGAAAACAAAGCACTTCATTGAATATTACCAACTACATTATATCGTTTTTAGTTATTTTCTACAAAAAAACAAAGCATAAAAGATGCCATGTTGCAGTTTTATGGATGTTTGGGTCTATTTTTATCATGTATATTTTCTGCACACATGTGACAGTGGTATCAATATAACTCTCTGCAAAAAAAGTCCCCAAAACATATAATTGTATCTCCTAAAACTGTCACACACAATAGGCCTGCTCAAATTCTGAACCTTCTCAGTGTGAGACTAACACGTGAGAGCATGAACTTTTAAAAGCCGTTTCACTTTCAATCAGCCGCTTTACTAAACATTTGACTTTGCCCCCTAACTTTGCAAGATTTGTACCACAGCTTGTTCCATTTAGTGGTGAACTGAAAAAGATTTTGAAGGGAAACGTTACTTGCTAGCAATCTTCCTGTAGCCTGTTTTTGTACACGAAGAGCTACATTTCTTGATATGTTACCACCTGTGCAACAGTTTGAAGCCACTGAAAGGACAGATCTTAAATTAAAGACGCAAATGTAACATTTCTTTATTTATTTTTTTAGCTCCAGAGGGTTGGAATATATGTTGTATACGCTTTTTCTATTTTTAATTGAATCGTGTTTTTACTGAGCGGAATATCTAAACCAAAGATTTTACACCAATCAGCAACAACATTGAAACCATCTCTCTGTTATTGTGCAGGTATTACTCATGCTCCTAAGACATTTTTGACCTATCCTGGGCATAGACGCAAGACCTCTAGGGGTGTCCTGTGGTGTCTGAAACTGGAATCTTGTGAGTGTAAAGGCCAGGTCTACAGCTTGGTCTCTTGGTCGAGTTCCTCAAGCCACTTCTGGCTTTATTTCGTTGTGTAGCAGGATGCTTTTTCATGGCTGCAGGGAGTACCATTGCCATGGGGCGTTGGATTTGGACTGCAATGTTTAGGTTGGTGGTACATGTCAAAGTGAATTCAGTGGCTGATCAGTTGCATGTCTTAATCTTTCCATTACATGGACATAATTTCTAACTTTTTATTCTAATTTTCCCAAAATTCAGCCTGATGTATTTTGTATTTGTAGATTGTTTCTCTGGTATTTGTATAATGTCCTGCAGGCTTGAACAAAGTTGGCTGCAGAGCATGCATTGTCTGTGAAGGTTGGTCTGACCTGGTAATGTTTCATAATATTAACAAAAGTTTCAATGCAGTCCCTTCAATTTATTTCTTCATAAAAGACTTTAATCTGACAAACAATCTCTGCAAGTTTTCTCATCTACCTTCAAACTGCCTTCCTGCAAGAGGGCACATAATTCACCCTGTGCAGGCTGAAGTGATGTGTTCTTTTCATGTACAGAGGAAGCATAATATCCTGTTCCCGCATGAGCCCTAATACCACACTGAGGCAGACTGGCCCCCGGCCTATCAGGGGCCTGAGTGCTCCTGAAACTAAAGCCACAGGCCTTCTGAGAGTGTAATATATGAGGTGTCTGTCTGTCTGTGCCCTGGACTCTGCCTGTTAGAGCGTCAGTAAAAGCCGGGCCTAATGGGGTCCCTCTTCTGAGAGCACAGGAGGGTATGGTTCTCATTTTAGTGGCAAATGTGTTCCCTGTGGCTGAGGCTCATGCACTTTTATTGAACCGGCATTCTTCTTGCAAAGTCATTGTTGTGAAATGCAATAACTCAAGTTTGCGTTACGTGAATAAAAATCCACAGGAGATTTTATTTTTCTCATGAGATCGGCATTTGCCACAGAAACCAGGCCGCTCTCCGGCATCCTAAGTGATTTATGTGTGGCACAGGGGTGGAAATAAACCAAGGTTTTATGAACAAATTCTAAATCACTCAATAAAAGCTACTTTCGAGCTGTCGTGTTTGTTGACATCAGTCTCATTTAATGGCATTCGTGTAGACATAACTTTCTTTGCAGGAAGTGTTTTTATGAAGCCTCCGTGTTGCCGGAGAAGATTTGTGCTTGTGTTGCAACTTGATGGCCACTTTTCTGGTGTTATTGAATTAATTTTATCATTAAATCATCCTTTTAGCAACCTCAGAAATTGTTTGCTGAAAAAACCCCCTAATAATTAAAACAAAACCTCCTTCTTGTTTGCCAAAGGCCATTTGGAAGGCCTGTTGAGCATCTAATGCAAGTAGGGCATTGCTGAAGTGCCCTTGAGCAAAGCACTGGCTCACTGCCACCCTCATAAATCCTGTTCAGTAGCAGATCCTGAGCTTTGATCTCTCTGCAGGATGGCACATACATTCCTCCTTCAGAGCATCCTGTCATATTATTGTGATTCCCTTTCAGAGGCTGAAAAAGAAACTTCACTTGCCAGGAAACACACACACCTGTGAGGAATCAGTGGGAGGTCCACCTGTGTGTCCCAGCAGCAGCAGCAGCAGCAGCAGCCTGATGAGGACTCCTCCTCTCTGCCACCGTCACTGTTTCCCTGGACGCGGAGAGAAACCAGTCGGACGTCCTTCTGCGTCTCACTCGCTCCCAGGATTCAGACGCGCACTGGAGGAATGCGTGGCAAAACCCATCGTTTATTTGGAGTACCCGTCCTTTAACGCGTGCATTCCCATATCGAGCATGATCGTTCCCTCCTGGAGCCGGTAAAAGGCGTAAAGAAAATGTCTCAGCAGCAGCGGCTCGTCCAACTCTCCGCGGCGTCCCTTGCCGTGGTCTTCGGGCCGGACGAGGAGAGTTTACGCGCCGGCGGAGGGAAACTCAACGCCAATACTACGAGCGGTCAGGAGATTTTTGCGGACTTCAAAGCGCAAAACTCGCGCAGTTTTTGGAATAAGAGACTCGTTAAGGCCATCGCTGAGGTGTACTTCCAGGGATGGATGGAAAACTCGGTGCTTTTCATTCAAGGGAACGCGAACAACTTGGAGGTGCTGAGAGAAGCGTGGATGCGCAGAGCTCTGAGGTCTCCAAAAGGATTTATCATTAAAGCTGTCGGTATGTAACCTCAGTCACCTGTGACTTTAAAAAGTATTATTATGAGGCATTTAATGGTGGTGATGCAACTTTCCAAATGAAATCCACACATGAAGAGCAGAGCAGCTTTCAGTGTTCAGTTTGCAGTCATGTGAGGGCACAAGGTGTGTTGGTCTTTTTCTTTTAGGAGACACTGTGGTGGAGTCACACAACATTTGTTTACCACACTGAGAGAAATGTGTGAAAGCCATAAACTGACTAACACAGAACTGGCACCTCTTTTCCTTCTCTTGAGGATTTTCATTGGACTTTAGTTAAATCTTATGGCATTAATCTTTAACCAAAATCTGTAGTAAAAGTGGAATATGAAGTCATTTATTTCCAATGTGGCGTTTCCCCCTAACAGCAGGTTTGGGAAAACATGGGAAAAGCCTAATTTCTTGGATGTGTGAAGTGCAGAGGTGTGATAGGCCACATCTTTTCATATGCCTAAATGGTTAGCAGAATCTTACTTGTGTAATTTGTAAAATGACCAGATTTTGTTTCCATAAGCAGTGAAATGTTTTCAGCTTCACCAAAGTTACTGCCTGATGTTCCTGACGATCCTGCTTCTCCAAATGTTGTCTGGCTTCAGCAGTCAGTCTCTCTTTGTTGTCGACACAGTGATATGTTTACCGATGCTTGTTAACAAAGCTCCTTGCACTTGTAACTGCTCCCCTTCCCTGACTGTGTTTTATGTCCATAGCCGCACAGAAACAATGGAAATGGAAACCTTTATGCAGCCTCCTATAGCATGATCTCATGGGCTGTAAATGTCTGACAGCACCAACTGCTCCAGGAAATGACAACCTTGTGTGGGTTTTACACCTAATGACAGTATTTTTAACAGATACAACAGGTTATTCGCATTTTTTTCTGACTTTAAAACCTGTGGTTTGCTGCAAATACACGTGTGGGAACTGATTTTTTGATGCCACAAAGCACCACCTTCTACTCAAAAAGTACACAATTATCCATAAAATTCAAAAACAGCAGGATGCAAGAGAGTAAGAGGTGTGTTTTCCAGATCATGGAGTGGCAGGTTTTTGTTAGTTCTTCCAACAGTATCCCGGCAACACACACTTTGTGCTCTAAGTTGCCTTTTTGCTGCTGTCCAATGGTGTGTTTTGTCTGGATGTGTGCCTCGCCGCAGTCTACCTGTGGACTTTGTATCAGTCCGTCAGCTCCGCACGATTGAGCGGTGCACAGACAAGTAAATGGAGGAATGTGAAGGGGAGGAAGAGACCACACAGAGGGAGACCCCGGGAGGGCGTGGAGTGACGGAGGAGGAGGAGGATGGGGGGAAGTGGAGGCTGACATGCCGTCCCGCTGTGAGACAGTTTCTGGTCTTAAGCTCCGAGTCAGCACACAAACAGACACCATATGGGCCAAAGGTGATGCTGAGCTTATTATTATTCGCTGCGTTGGCCCAGAGGTGTACACAGACATGCATGAGCACACAGTCGGATGTGAAGCAGGCATCTATATTTCAGCAGACTCCTCACGTTGGAGCTTCGCACCACAAACCTGTAAGCAAACACGCTTATGTGTGGACATGTCACCTCCGTCTCCTCCTTAACAAATCCGTCACCTCAGACTGCAGCAATTTGTATGGAAATCAGCACTGGCAGGCGTTCAGAGCCTGGTTTACTGCCTTCTCACTGAGAATTGGTCAGCAGTGAATCACCGAGCGACTGGCGGCCGACCACAGCCGCTTTTCTGTTACCCAGGATTAATGTGCGTTCGTTTCATGGCCAGTGAGGGACTGTGGAAGTCAGACTCTTAGATTGATATCAGGCATGGACTTAAGGCCTTGACATTGTCCCGATATAAATATGTCAGCCAGAAAACAGAAATGTTATGAGTTATGGGCTACAGTGAATTTCAAACGGCCCTATTTCCTTTCTCAGGTCAGAGCAAGGTTGAGACGTGACTTTATTGCTGCGAGGAGGTTTTTTAAAGGAGAGTTAAGGGGCTAATTTAGGGGATGTTTAGCTGACACTAACCAGATGTGGATAAAAGTTAGTTAACACTGTTGAGTAACTGAGAAGAGATGTTGACGGCACAGAATCACTCAAGATATTTAGTGGTAACTCCTCATTGGTCCTCCTGTCTGGTTATCAGAGCTGATAGAGCTGTAGACAGATTCTTCTGTGGGCTCATCAGCCGCCTCCTCTGAAGGGAGATATGGAGGACAGGAGGTGTGCAGGCGGTGAGGAGGGTCGATGGAGGAAGGGGATGGTGGTGAGGTTAGGCTGAGGTAAACAGAGAGGGTGAGGAGTTAGGATGAACAGGCTTTGCTACTATCTTGGTGGGAACGGCCCCCGCTGGTACTGGGGTCGACCTCTCGGCTTCAACTCCTGAACATCTGCAGGGTGTTCATGATTCTTCTGCTTTTGCCCTGAAATTCATCCAGCCACTGCAAAATCATTACAGTAGTGACCAGCGTGCGTAAAATCGACGTGATTCGTGCTGGCAGCATTCTTTGCACTGTGAATAATCACATGTAGATCAGGTTTACATAATCAACGCGCAGCATCTTACAGGAAACGCACAACATGAGGACAGAAATTCAAGAGCGTTGTTCTCTTTTTGTAGATTTTGCTCTAATAAATGCTCCTAAATTAAATTTTCCACCACTCGTTACTTTATATCCGGCTCATTTCCTGCTCTTTTTCCTGCATATACAGAAACCAGGCTGCACGCTGTAATTGATGGGTAATCCAGTTCGATCGGACCGGAGATGTGCAAAAATCGGTGTATTGCCTGAAACAAATAGTTGCACACTTTGGGTATTGCTCTTGTTTGCTTGATTGCAGAGAGTTAGGTGATGAGATTTATGCTGCTTTTCTACCTCTGTGTTAACTATGGAGCTAGAGGTGGAGTATTTTCAGTTCACTTACAGACTTGAAGTAGGAGAAGAAACTCCGATTAAACAAACACATTAATGAGTGAAATTTGTTGGTGCTTGTAGGCATTTTTTTTTTTTTACTTGGGCAAGAACAGGCTAGTTCCACCCAACTGTTGCTCTGTCGACAATTATTCTCATCTAACTCTCAGCAAGAAGGTTAATAAGCAGATTTCCCAAACTATTCCTTTAATCTGATTTCAACTGCTTCTTGTCTGCAGTCTTTAAAAAAAAAAAAGCCTCACAATCCCCCAAAAAAGGCTTAAATTCCTTTTGGAGACTCTCCTGAAACCAGAGGCCTTATAATGACTGTTAGCTGGTTCTGCATTATTTAGTGTCACAATTGTCTCTGCAGCAGGATGAGCACGAATCCACCAGTTGAAACATTTATATGGAGTCAGCCACTGGTGTAATGAGGTGTCCTGTGTCCTTCTTACAACCAGCCTCCGTAAACCGCCCCGGTCCTCTTTGAACATGGACATGAATGAGTCTTCTCACTTTCGCCGTGGAAAACACTACTTTGGTCATTGTAGGACACACTGTACGCCTCCCCTCGGTGTGTTTTTGGAGCACTAGGGCACGGCCGCGCTGTGCTTTTTAAGCCAAGTTTCCTTTTTAAATGGTATGTTTCATTTAGCTCGCCATACCATGAGGTGGTGAGGCATTCCTGAAATGCTTCATTTACTCTTGAGATCATTTCCTGAGCGAGCGGCCCAGCGAGCCTCATTTCTGCTCTTTACTTTTCACTTGAAAGTGTCGTATTTTCACACAAGGGGTGTCTCCTTTCATGAGGGTATTTTGTCAGAGTCTCAAAGCGCTCCACTAATGGTCATAACTCTTCCAGATGTTAGCTTATTAACCATGACACCCCCTCGCAGGGCCCTACCGGCTTTAAATGGCCCACCCTGTCCTAACTAAGCAGCACAGGTCAAAGGTTACAGCCTTCTTGCTAACAAACCACCTTGAGGTCATTTAGCTTCAGAGGGTTTTTTTCTTTGGGCTAAACAGAGCAACATACATCAATACAGTATCCAGGTGTTCTGTGCTCACTGGGCACTTCTGCTTGTGTTCATCCACCGTATTCCAAATATGCTCTTTGGAAAGGATCGTAAACCAGATGAAAGCACACTAGTACTTCAACAATACTTTTGATAATCAACTTATTGGTTTGGGTACTGTTTTAAGAAAGGAAATCTAAATCCTCTGATTCTAGCTACTTAAACTGAAATATCTTCCAGTTTCTTTACTTCTCAGTGACAGCTAACTAAACCTCTTTGTGTTGCGGAGGAAACAAGACATTTAAGGTCATCATAGTTACTTATCAATATTTTTCACTATTTTCTGACATGTTGTAGACCAAACAACCAACTGATGAACTGAAAAACTAACCAACAGATGAATTGCTGAAAAAAAAAAAAAACATTAATTGCAGCTCAATATTGTTGACACACTGCATCCTAAAAATAATGTTTGGACTCAATGAAGAAAAATTAACGCTTGCATTAGTCTTTTCAAGTGATGACAACTTGTGATGAAATTATGTTCAACCAACATACTTCACTGAGTTTGAATTAACTTTCCTACTTTAATCAAAGGTATTTTTAGTTAACAGTTTAATTGGTGACTTGAAATCTTAACTCAAAGTTAAGAAAAAACAAGTTATCAAGCCAATTTCATGAAGTTGCTTCAACCTAAATTTAGTTTTAAATCAACTTTTGCAGAAATTTGAGTTTAAATTACACTAAATATTAAGTTAATACAATTACCAACATTATTATGTCCACCCAACCAATCAAATCGTGTTTACAAACTAAATTATCCATCTAAATCAGTAAATTACATTTGCTTTTAATCTTGCAATCTTGGTCCCTTGCAGTAGTTTTTATAGTGTACTGAATTGTTTGTGTTCAGGATTCGTTGGCCGGTTTACATCCTTACCACTGTTACTACTATTTTTGTAAAGAAAATACATTTTGCAGTTTGGACTGTTTACTTTTGGTGAACTGTTTCATTACTTTTAGCTCACTATTTTTAGTTTTTATTCATTAAACTATTTCAGCTGTTCCCATCCATT